CCCGGCGCCCCGGCCCCGGCCCGGGGGTGCTGGGGGGCCCAGGCCTGCGGCTGCCGCCTCCTGATGGAGCGCGCTCTTGCTGGACTCCTTTGCTCCACCACAGGCCTTGCCACCTGTCAGGTCCTTGGCAGGGCTGCCGAGGCGACCCTATTGACAGCACCAGACAGCAGAGAAGTCTTGTAGACTGAGTTGTATGAGAACGGGGAGTGTGTTACAGGAGATCACAATGAACTTGGAAGCTTTAAAGTTCCAGGATCTAGAAAATGTGACTTCTCTTCCTGAGGAAAAGGGAGAAATGCAATTAATTGTAAACTAATTTACACTTAAGTCAGAAATGTTTTCTAACAAGGCTATGTCTTTGTTGGGGGACTTCTTTCACTGGATGGAGACTTGGTTGTTTTTAGGTGGAGGTGAGGATGGTGGTCTACCTGTAAAGGACTAGCCTGCCCATATCATTTATTTCACATCCAGCATCCATTTTCTGTACTTTTGACATCCTCTTTTAGGTGTACGAGATTACTTCCTTCTATACTTTTATGCTTAAAAGCAAGCAAACAAACAAACCAGCATGTTTGTATGATGCATCCAGTGATCAAAATGAAACCAAGCAAAAATGACAAGTTGTCTAATTAGGACCAGCCATGGCACATATATCCTCAAGCAACATCTGTACCCAGTTACATGGAGTAAAGTGGAAGTATTAAAAGCAAGCCAGAGACATCTGGATAATCATCTCAAAGCAGGTTGGCTGTTAGGGAAAGTTGAAACTAGCAAGAATTTGGCAGTGTTCCTTTAAATTGTTAAGGAAAAAAACCAGAGCTATTTTCTAAAAATAGTAAATAAAGCTGAAAATTGTGAATCAAGTAACAACAAAAGAAATGAACTCCTTAAAAGACAAACATTTTAACATAGTATTTAGGATTTCATAGATACTGTACACTTGATCATTCTGGGAACTATGAGGTTTTAGCTGGAAGTTGTGATAGGACTTTGGTACTGTCAAAGTGATAACTGGCACGAATCCAATTTGCAAATGTTCCCTTCTAGAATGTGATGGCATCTTGCTTAGGGAAAATAGGGTAATCAGAAAGAATAAAATTGTATGCATTCTGTAAAAAATGGGTGTACATGTGTTCTGACTTTCATCAAATAAAGTATCTTTGCTGAATAACTGATAAAGAAAACTTGTGATTTAGGGTGCTTTTATCCAAGCTAGCCTACAGCTCCTGTGTATCTCAGGCTGGCTTAGTATTTGTAATCTCGAATCAGCCTGGTTTGCAAAAAAGATACCTTGTTGTATTAAGAGGTTTTTTTGTTGTTGGTTTTTTGTTGTTTGTTTGTTTGTTTTTTGGTTTTTCGAGACAGGGTTTCTCTGTGGCTTTGGAGGCTGTCCTGGAACTAGCTCTTGTAGACCAGGCTGGTCTCGAACTCACAGAGATCCACCTGCCTCTGCCTCCTGAGTGCTGGGATTAAAGGCATGCACCACCACTGCCCGGTGTATTAAGAGTTTTTGGAGGCCCTAAGAAAGAAGATTTTAATGTCTCATCACCCACAGGTAATATGTAAATAAATATTAAAAATGATACAGTACCTGCAGATAAGAGTAAAATTAGGCGAGAGATGGCTCAGTGGTTAAGAGCCCTGGCTGCTCTTCCAGAGTACCAGAGTTCAATTCCCAGCACCCACATGGCTGCTCATAATTGTCTGTAATTCCAGTACCAGGGATCTAACACCCTAACACCAATGCACATAAAATCAAATAAATTATTTTAAAAAGAGTAAAAGCAGCTGGGTGCGGTAGCCCACACCTTTAATGCTAGCAGTTGGGAGCCCATGGCAGGCCTATCTCTGAGTTGGAGGCTGGCTGGTCTACATTGTAAGTTTCAGGATAGGGCTATGTAGAGACACCCTGTCTCAAAATAAATAAATACATAAATAATTTTAAAAAGAAGTAAAAGCAGTTCAATAAAGTTTCAATTTTTCTATGACTTCAGTTGTTCTTCTTAGATTCATTTTAAAAATTTATGTGTGATATGGGGGGAGGGGCTTGGTCCTGCCTCAACTTAGTATACTAGACTTTGTTAACTCCCCAAGGGACGCTTTACCCTGGCTTCTGAGGAATGGATGAGGGGGTGGGATGAGGGGAAGTGGGGGTGGAAGAAGGAGAGAGATGGAGAACGGAGGTTGGTCTGTAAAATAAATAAATGAATAAATAAATAAAAACTTAGGTGTCCTACCATAAGGGTACTCATTCCTGAGGACTAGGACCAGAGGTGGGTTACCCAGAATAGAAAAGAAAGTAAGTGAAATGATCCCTAATGATAGCCTGCTATACTCACAGATTGGTGCTTAATCTGTCATCAGAGAGGTATCACCCAGTGACAGATGCATCCACCCACAGCCAAACATTAGGTGGAGCTCTGGAATCCTATGGAAGAGGGGGAATGAAGACTATAGGAGCCAGTGGGGTAAAGGACACCACAAGATAACCCACAGAATCAACTAACTTGGGCTCATAGGAGCTCACAGAGACTGACCTGATAACCAGCGAGGCTGCATGGAACTGACTAGACACTCTGTATGTGCTACAGTTGTGTAACTTGGTCTTCATGTGGGACTCCTAACAGTGGGAGCAGGGGCTGTTTCTGACTCTGTTGTCTGCTTTTGGGACCCTTTCCTCCTACCAGACTGCCTCATCCAGCTTTAATAGAAGAGAAGTTGCCTAGTCTCACTGCAACTTGATATATCATGGCTGGCTGATAGCCATGGGAGGACTTTTCCTGAAGAGAAACAAAGGAGGAGGAGTTGGGGAGGGTATTTGGGGGTAGAACTGGTAGGAGAGGAGGGAGGGGGAAACTTTGGTTGGGAGATAAAAACAAAACAACAAAACTTACATGGCTGGACAGTGGTGGCACATATCTTTAATCTCAGCACTCAGGAGGCAGAGGCTGTTAGTTTAAGGGCAGCCTGGTCTACAGAGTTAGTTCTAGGACAGCCTGGGCTACACAAAGAAAACTGGTCTTGAGAAGCCAAAATAAATGAATAAATGAATAAACAAAAGTGTGTGTGAGTGTGAGTGTGTGTGTGTGTGTGTCTGTGTGTCTGTGTCTGTCTGTCTGTCTGTCTGTCTGTCTCTCCCTGTCTCTGTCTCTGTCTCTGTCTCTGTCTCTGTCTCTGTCTCTGTCTCTGTCTCTGTCTCTGTCTCTGTCTCTGTCTCTGTCTCTGTCTCTGTCTCTGTCTCTGTCTCTGTCTCTGTCTCTGTCTCTGTCTCTCTCTCTCTCTCTCTGTGTGTGTGTGTGTGTGTGTGTGTGTGTGTGTGTGTGTGTGTGTGTACACATGAAAAGGTCAGAAGAGGGGCATTGAATCCCCTGATACAGATGTGAGCTGTCTGTGGTGGAAACAAACTCTGGTCCTTCTCAAAGGCAGCAAGAGCTCTTAACTGCTAAGTTATCTCCGTAACCCAAAACCCAAAATACCTGTTCTTAGAGAAGCTTTTTTCTTTCCTTTTTTTTTGGGGGGGGGCTGGTTCTGGTTTTGTTGGTGCCTTGCGTGTGCTTCCTCTGCCTATTGTGTGAGCCAGAACTGACAACACAAAGTTCAGTCTAGATGAGAGAGCTTAAATAAGCACTACCAAGTGCCACAAGTGAAAATCCATTCCTCCCCCCTCCCCTTTCCTCTTTACATCCCTCCTTCCCTTCCTCCCTCTTTTTCCCCATGCCTTCCGACTCAGCCTCCTTATTCCTTCCTGAGTTATAGGCATGTGCTATCATGTCCAGTTGGAAAAAAATTTGTTTTGTAAAGGCTAGTTCACTGAGGTAGATTTAAAGGTATCTGTCCTCAATAAGCTTATATTTGAATGTGTCTCAGAAGAGTGACAGGTACCCTGTTACATCAAAAATTAACAGTTTTTCTTTTAACATAGTTGTGTCTCTCAAAAGCTCAAAGGCAACATACATAGTTGGATATTAGGTACTAAGAGTGGTGGGACTCATTTTAAAGGACTTACAGCAAGCATATGGTTTAGTCCAATTATTTCATGCTTTTTCCACATTGACTCCATGCAGCCAATGAAGCGTTTCTACATGACTAGCTTTGAGGAATGTGGATGAGGTAACTATACTTTTCTGGTTTTGAAGTCTTCCTCTTTGTTGAATTTATAGATAACAGAGGTGGCCCCCTAGGGGGCCTTTTCAAAATTACTTATACTTATGGCTTTATTTATTTCTGAGCGTCTACAGGCTTTTCATATGGGTACTTGCAGCACTCCTTAGAAAATCCTTTTTTGAAAAGAAAAAATGCCAGTAAACAACTTAAAAGCCTAAATATGATATTAACAAGTAATACTTGCAGTGTTCTGTAGTTATTATATATGGTACACATTTAAAATTTGCAACTCTGTGAAGCGAATATAATTATTGCCATTTTTGATGAGGGAAATTTGAAATCATGATTTAAAGCCAGCAAATATAGGAATTAGAGTCATATCTTGGGCTCTAAATCTTAGGCCATTCCCATTACTTGCAAGTCCAGGATCAGTCACTAGACTCTTTAAAATCATTGGATAAGCTACCTGTTTGATAACTAAAATGGGAGTTTAACTTAGTAGTAATACTAGTGTCATGATTTACCTAATAAACAAGAAATATTGTTTAAAAACTTGGGTTATCTCAAAGGATCCAAGTTAACACCACAATAAAGTCATTTGATTACACGAAGACCCC